GTGAGATAACTTCAAAAGGCATCACGAAGATGGAATGTCGGTGCCGTTAGTCCTGGCGGGAATCTCCTACGCATGCGCAGTCCGACACCCTGGGCCTTATCAAAATGCAGTTCAGCGCTGAGAAAAGTGAGGCATTGCACCAGGGCAATCTAGACCCAATGCCCAGGTATAAGGTGGTACCTGACTCAAGGGCAGTAAGTGTGAGAGGGATCTAGGAGTCCCAGTGGGCCAATAGGAGCAACCGATGTGCTGCCAAAAAAGGCCGGTGCAATCCTGGTTAGTCGCTGAGCCACGTCCGACCCATTGCGACCCCAAGGAGAAGGTTCCTCCAGGCCTTCCCGTCCCCTCCCATCCTCTGGAGGTAGACGATGCAACCCTAGGCTGCATCCACAGAGCAAGGATCGCATCACCATCACAAGAAGCGATGCTGCCGCTGCACTCGTGAGGCCACGCTTCGAAAACTGCCTGCGGATCTGGTCATCACAATATTTAAAAAACGCCGGGACTCCAGAGCATGGGTTCTCAACCTTCCCTCTGCCACGGCCCTTTCACCCAGTTCCTCATGTGGTGGTGACCCCCAGCCACAGAGTGCTGTCTCGGTTCCTAAGACCATCGGAAGTATGTTTTCCGGTGGTCCTGGGCGACCCCTGTGAAAGGGTCTTTTGACCCCCCAAAGGGGCAGCAACCCACAGAGTGAGAACCGCTGCTCCAGAGAAAGTGCAGAAAAGACGTGGAAAGAGGATCAAGGTCCGGAGGCTGAGTCTTGAGGGCCGGTTGAAGGAGCCTCTAGGAGCCAACAGAAGAGGGCCGTTGGGGAGGACCTGGCTACGGTCTTCCAGGGTTTGAGGGGCTACCACCAAAAAGGGACTGGCTTCCTCTCCACACCCCAGAGAGCAGGAAAAGGGGAGGGATGGGTGGGAGGTTATTAAAGGGAGAGCCAACCTAGGAAAACATTTCTGACTGTGAGACCCATCCTCCAAAAGTGGTGGCTGATCCATCACCGGAGCTTTCCCAGAATAGACTGGACAACCATTGGACTGGGATGGGACACATCCTGCCTTGAGCAGGGGCTAGACTAGATGGTCCCCGAGGTCCCTTCCAGCCCCAGGGTGGCAGCATGTTCTAACTGTTGGCTCCCCATTTCGGGGAGCCCAGAAGGGAGGCGCAGTGGATGGCCCCTCGGGGGTTTTCCCTCTGATCCGCTAACTGCGAGCGTCCAATGGGCTCAGCTCGCCCTCGGCGGCCCCTGCTTGCTACCCTGATGTTCACGGCTGACGCTGCCCGGGCCCGCGGCCTCTTTGCAAGGCCTGAATCTGGACCAACGGCAAAGGTCCGGCCTCCAGGGGTACCTGCGAGGAGAAGGGCCGCCGCTGCCGCCTTCCGCTGGGCTTGGGGCCGGCAGTTATTCCCAAGCGTTGAACGCCGCGCAAAATGGGAAGGCGGCGGGCAAAAGGCACCGCTGGGATTCGAACCCAGGATCTCCTGTTTACTAGACAGGCGCTTTAACCAACTAAGCCACGGCGCCACCCGCCGGTTTGCTTCCGCGCAGGCCTGGCTGTTCAGTGCAAGCTGGCATCAGAGCCTCGAAAACCCGGCCAGGAATTTTGTTCTTGGACGGGATGGCGACGGACCAATCCCGGAGCGGCATTTTCAACACCAAGAGACGGACGGACCGAGGGAAAAACGGGAGCGGGAGAGGAGGAGGAGGAAGCGGAGGGAGGCCCCCTTCTCGGGTGGGGGAGGGGGCGTCGCGGGGAGGTTCGAGTGCGGTAGAGCCCAGATGGAGCTGAACTCGGGAGGGCGCTTCCTTCCCGACCCCGCAGCGTTGCTCGGAGGCTCCCTCTCCCCCCGCGGGTCAGCGCAGCCCGGAGTTAAAAAAAGATTGACCCCGACGTGATTCGAACACGCAGCCTTCTGATCTGGAGTCAGACGCGCTACCGTTGCGCCACGAGGTCGGTGGCGAGCCTCCTGTGGCAGCCTCCCCTGTGGGCCTGGCACCTCCCGCTCGGGCAGCGGCCCAGGAGTCGCGGGGGCCTCGAGCGGACTCCGGCCACCTCCCCCCCCCCACTAGCCCCTGCGGGACCCCGACGGCGCTTCGAGAGGTGGGCGGGGTGGGGTGGGGCAGCTGCCTTGCCCAGCGGCTGGGAGGGGTCTCGGCCGTGGCCCTCCGTCCGCGGGAGTGGCGGGGAGCTTGGCCAGCGGAGGCTGCCCGTAGGCGAGGCGTCGGGGCATCCTTGGCGCGGACTCTGCCCGTTCAGCCTCGCCCGGGGAGCTCTGGAGCCCTGGGGCAGAGTGAGCGCTTTGGGACTGGAGAGGGGAGCGGCGGCTTCCCCGGCGCAAGGAAGCCAGCCGCGCATCCGCCCCGGCTTCAATCCCCAAAGAGCCAGGCTCCCCCCTTCCGTGGCTCCCGGGGTGTCCGTCGGCGTTCCCAGGCCGTGGAGTCCCAGGCTTTTCATTCCCCCCTTCCTGCCCAGGAGGAGAAGGGCTCGGCCGGGAGCTTAAAAACAACAGTGGCGCTTGTGAGAAACAGGCCGGTCCCCCCCCCCCAACCGCCAGGCTGAGGCCCCCGTGGGCGCTTCCGAGAGGAACCGGTTCCCCCTCCCCAAATGCGCTTCTCCTGCCCGTTGGAGGCGCCGCTCCCCGCCCCAGTCCTCCCCCAGTCCCGCCGGCTGGCTCGCTTTTAACGGGCGGTCGGGCTGGGCGGTTCTTCTGCTATTGATCGCCTGTTTCCGTGTCCCGAAGTCACGATCGACCCTCGGGGGCCACGTTGGGGGCCATTTTCTCCATGACGCTCCGTCCGTCCCTTGACCTCCCAGCCCTTTCGATCCCCGCTCCGCCCCTCGCCCCGAGAAGCGCTTCTCCTCTTCCTCTCTGCCTCCCCCCTCCCGCCCTCTTCCCGCTTCTGAAGAGCACGAGCGGGGCCTTGGCCTTTGGGGCTCCCAGCGGGGCCGTTGGCGCCTGGAGTGAGAAGTCCGGGTTGATCCCTTTGGTGACGCACCGGTGGCTTTCTGGGCTCTCCGGCCTCGACCGGAGCCCCCAGCCCAAAGTCGGAAGCCCCCACCTTGCTTCTCCCAAGCCCAACTGTGGCTGGCTGGCTCGGCAGGTCTGGTTTTTTGTAGGAACAGGCGCCACCTGGGACATCCGAAGGAGACCCTCGGGGCTGCTCTCCCCGCCGGAGTCCCGCCGGCCCTAGCAGAGGCCTCGATGGCTCTCGCTCCTTCTTTGCGGATGATTGACCCCTCAATGGCGTCGCTCGATTTTTATCCCACCTTTCATGCCTACTCCGCCGCCAGTTCTAAGCTTGACTGTTGTGTCCCTTGTCCTTCGTTTCTCTATACTTTATTTTAATCCCGTTTCCCCCTCGGCTCTTCTGTGCTTGCCAGTCTCCTCCTCGGCCTGTTCTGGGGCTCCCTGGCCATCAGAGGATGACTCGTTGGGACCCTCTGTGAGCCACGGAGTCCCTGGCAAAACCTTCACGAGAGAGAGGGGGGGGAGATGGAAGGTGGTTCTGACCCAACCCATCTCCCCTTCCCCTTTCAAGAGGGCCGGCTGCTCCGTGCAGGTGCAGCTTATCTAATCTGGCGCTCAGCTCAGGTTCCCTTGCTGCGCTCCAGGGCTGGGAGAAAGCGGCTTCTCCTCGCTTCCTCCACTCTTCCACCCAGCGCCGGCTCCTGGCCACCAGTTCGGATGACTTCCGGCTCTTTCAGGGCCGGGAGAGGGGACAGGCCGGATCTCCTGGCCCAGATTGGCTCCCTAGAGCCGGAGGCCATCTGGCTCTGCCTGCGGTGGGCGCCCTAGCCCTGTGGCTGGTTCCCGCGCCGCTCGGGAGCTTTGAAGGCAGCGGTGGCCGCACCTGTCGGTGGGGAGAGAAGCCTCCTCTGCCCCGTCCGGCCTCCCACGCTCCTCTCTCGCGCCCACTCCTCCCCCAACACTGACGTAAAAGCGCGCGAGAGGGGGGGACTGGTCGCCCCCCACCGCTGGTGGGCGGGGCAGAGGGATGGGGGGAGCTTATCTCCATCCTTCCTGGGAGACGGCAAGGTCTTTCGGCGGAGAGGGACCGCCCGGCCATCCGACCGACGCCAGACCTCAGCGGCCAGAGCTCCCTGGCAGGTGCGCCATCGGCTCCAGGTTTTCGCTGCCCTTCTGCGCTTCCGCAGGTATTGGCCACCCTTCCCTGCATCGGCCTGTCGGCGTCGGCGGGTATCGGGGGAGGCAGTTGCGGGCTGCCGGGGGGGGGGGGTCGGCGGGAGGCGCTGGCGCGGCCGGCGTCCCGCTCGCTTCTTTCAGCCGCCGGAGCCGGAGTGGAAGTTGGCTGCAGCCGGCAGTTCCTCCAACCGAGAAA